TATAAGTGGTAAAGCGAGGTCCAACCTGCCTACTGTGGGATGGGTGCGAGAGGGGGGCCGAAGGCTCCCCTTGCACCCCCTCGTGTGTGTGTGTGTGTGTGAGTGTGTGTGTGTGCCCGCACGCGCGCTCTTTCTGTCTACGTATGTACAGAATGTATCAAATATCTGAATAATACTGACTGAAATATATAAACCTACTTAGTTCATTGTAATTCTCTATCATTTTCTTTTCGTTTTTTGATGTAAAACTTGATAATTCATGCGAAAATGTGTGCAGTTTTATGTCCCAAGCATCAGTCAGTCACTATCTTTAATTGTTCAAAACTTTGTAGTAAACAACGAGCGACGATTAAATTAAAAGAAAAAGTTACTCAGAATTATGTCCTTGACAACATATATCAAGGTCAATGAAATCGGTGAGATCGCCCTTAATCTTAAGTTTTACCCAGATTGCTTTTGAAAGTAACCATTATGCTCACAATAGAGTTCAGTTTGAACCCTTTAATTTGATATATATTTGTTACGGTCTATCTCTTTTAGTATAAAAGATAAAAGGGCGTGGCTACTTTTGGTGGGATACCATATATATATATATATATATATATATTTCCATTTAAGAAATTGATGGTGTCCTTGACTTGATCTTAACGATGCCATCCAAGGTGAAACCAATGACACCATCTTATGTTCCCCTCAAAACCATACAACTTTTGTTCAAAATGTTTTTCTCTAAAATGCTTAGTTTTTGAAAGAAAAGGGGTGTACGGGTGGTCTAGGACACCCTGTATATATATTAGGGTGTCCATTAATTTGGCAATTTTCAAAATTCTTATGGGACACCCTCTAAGTTTTTAGTCGGTAAAAAAAGAAAAATTTTGGTCCTAAGTAAAACATAATACGATGAGTCTAAGGGTTCCCGCATCGACTTTGAAAATTCCCGTTTAAAATACATTGAGTTTTAACCGAAATTTATCTTTTACCTTTTTAAACTTTGCAACGTATCGTGCTTACAATTTTTGTTTTTTTATCAAAAGAAATCTAATAAAAGTTTGTCGAAATAAAACAGTCAATGTGTTTTTATGGTGACGGTTTTCAGAATCTCCACCCTCCTCACGTAGTTGCCTATCCACCTAACAAATTCGTAACAATACGTTGCGAAGATTGAAAAAGATAAATTTCTATTATACATGTGTCCGGTAATTTTTGACACATCCGAAGTGTGAAGGTAGATTGGGTCAAACTAAAAAGAAAAGTCCTGTACCATTTTTTTTTTATAACGCTTAATAAAGGAGTTATTATTGAGTAAAGTCTGGCCAATCAGCGCCGATCTTTAGCCGGGTGCACGTCGGCAAGCCGCGCGCCGTGAAGTGTGCGCTGCCGCATACTACCAGGCGCGCGGCTCACCGACGTGCGTCCGGCTAAAGATCGGCGCTAATTGGCCAGACTTTACTCAATAATAACTCCTTTATTAAGCGTTATAAAAAAAAAATGGTTCAGGACTTTTCGACTCAGTTTGATCCAATCTACCTCCACCCTTCGTTTGGCTACTTACATGTCGGACACCCTGTATAACGCAACGTATAAAAGCGCGATAGTCATAATCGGAGGAAACATATGAATCGATTTCATCAAGAAAAAAACTTAGTTATTCGAATGTTGCCAAGGTCGATTAGGCATAGTCTTGATGTGGTAGAGCACAGTAAACTGAATAGAAAAGTCCTTTGCCATTTTGCGATTTTCGTAATAATTATTGAGAAATTAATTAAAAAAGATCGACCAATTCGCGTGAGTATAAGCGCGCGGCGAGAAAGAACGGCCCAGAGACAACCCAAAAGTTTGTGATCGCTAGGCGCGCGATGAAGTTTTGGGAGGAGCGCTTTACAAATGACAACGGTTACGTACAAGTAGTATATAATAATGGATTCCCGCGTCCTAGCAACCACACATCAATGGGTTGTCCCTTTTTACTGCGCGCTTATACTCACGCGAATTGGTCGATCTTTTTTAATTAATTTCTCAATAATTATTACGAAAATCGCAAAATGGCAAAGGACTTTAGTATCAATTTAATATGCCTGTTTAAAGAAAATGGACTCAGCGAGATCTACTATATGTAACATAATTTCATCACTTTCACTTCTTTGCGGTCCATTGTTTTGCTTGATCTCATTGTGTGTACATCATAGACATAGTATATCTAGACCGAGTGTTGAGGAGTGGGGGCCAAGGTGCACGTAGAAAAGGACATACTCTGTTCCGTGCCTCTTGCGTTCTCTCTCACTCGCATGTAGCATAGCAAAAGAGTACGTTATGCTACGTGCGAGCGAGAGAGAACGCAAGGGGCACGAAACAGAGTATGTCCTTTTCTACGTGCATCTTTATCCCCACTCCTTAAATAAAGGCAAACGCTCGGTCTAGATATACTATGTCTATGGTGTACATACACACACATATGCACGCACGCGTATGTATGTGTATATATACAGAGTGAAACACTTAAAACTATCCAAATATTAACATATATCCGATCTGATTCTGTTTCTGAGTTATAACAAGTTTTTTATTTGAAGAACCTATTTGTTTACCTTCACAAGAAGTGTCCAAAATGACCACCTTGCATCTGAATTAACATCTTTCTGTAAACGTTTCAACATTAATCTATTGTCTTTGTCTACACAGAATGTCCACTGACAATATTGAAATACTTTGTCAGAGAATTAAACAAAGTTTTCAGCAAATCTGAGAAACACCTGGAAGATTTAAGAGAATAGAGAGATTAATGTTAAAACAAGTAAAAACATTTATATAGGCATGTATTCAAATGCAAAGTGATTATCTTAAACACTTCTTGTAAAAGTAAATAAATATAGGATACTTAAAAATTTACTATAACTTGGAAACAAGATCAAATAGGGAACATATGTTTATATACATTTTTTACACATACATATCTATATTTATACATATACATATATGTATATATACAGAAACAAACAAATGCTGCACAGAGCAATAAAAATCACTTTCACCATTTCGTACTAGACTCTATCCTTCTAAATAGAAATTCTAAGAGAAATAATTTAATTATATATTTTTTTTATAAAAATCTGGTATATAGAAAAAAAAATATACAATTAATTATTTCTCTTTTACAAAAATGGCTTTTTTTAGATATACTTATAGTAATAAAAATTGTGTACAAAAAAGATACTTACGAAGCATTTGATGTACATTATACCGTTTATACACGCGAACAATTCCTAGAGAACTGATCGCTCGAACGCGTTCAAACTCGTGTGATGTACTCTACGAAGCTCTCACTTTCCCCGTGATTGGATTGTTTTTTTTTTTTTTATCAATTCAATAGTTTTCTTTCACAAAGGACTTATTCCATTGTAACAATAATCACGGAAATCCGATCAGTAATTATAAAAATTGCATTAAAAAAAGCAGTCGAGCGTGTCTCCGTTCGGAGTCATGAAACAATATTTTTGTTTCGCTACAATTGTTCATCTGTCAACTTATCTTACTGGTGATATAAGCTAATTGGCGATATAGATACTATATATATAAGCATTTTTGTAATTAAAAAATAAAGAACTTTATTTAGAAGGATAGAATCTACTACGAAATGGTTAAAGTGATTTTTATTGCTCTGTGCAGCGTTTGCTTGTTTCTGTTGAAACCAACGATCGTAAGTTATTGCAAAGAGATATCGCAATATAAAAAATCTGTTGTAAATCTGTTGTAAAATATCTACATGCTGTCAATAAGTTTTTTTATTTTTGGTTCAGAGACGAAGTATCTATTAATATGCATTATTCTCATATTGTTCAAATATGTTGAAATATTAAAGCATTTTCTGTTTGTTTTTGACAATTTTGACATTGAATTCGTATTTAGCGACCTAAAAAACTATTAAGTTTAAATAAAAACTGAAAGCTATTTGGTAAATTGTCATCTAAGTCACAGCTAACTTCTGCAATACACCCCATATTTAACCATGGATATCTTATTAAACATAACCAACACCAAAAATTCCTTTTGAGGGTTGAAAGTTCTAACAACATACTTTATTTCGATTATAATAAAACTTCTCCAGCACGTCACATATTGTAGCTATAATATGACAAAGTTCATGAAAATAGCCCTTTTTTGCATCTTTAATTGCAAATTTCTCAAAATTCTGACGTGATGGAGCAATTTCAAAACCGGGTTCGTGTTCAGCGTCCAAAAACTTATAAGAAACAATTAGTCCCGTTTCGGTGCTTAAAAAAAAGTCATTTTTTGTTGAACAGTGTAATTAACCCTTATAAGAATGTCCTCATAAGATATTTATATTGCATTTAAGGTGTATAATATACTGCACATTAAAGAATGTGTATGTATGTATTGCGCGTATGTGAGCAATAACATTGTTCAACAAAAAAAAACACACAAGAACATGATCAGTCATTTCCTGTAATTTTTTGAACAGTGAATAGGATTCTAAATTGCTTCATTACGTTACAATTTTGAAAAATTTAATGTTGTAAAAGTGTTCGAACTTTCAGCTCTCAAAAAGAATTTTTCGTGTTAGCTATGTTTAATAAGATATTTATGATTAAATATGAAATTTATTGTAGAAACTTGTGAATTAGATCATTGATGAAGATCTACTCAAATACCTTTTAATAATATCTATTTAGTGAAAGATTTTTTAGGTTGCTGTATACAAATCCAATGTTAAAATTAACAAATTTAAAATTGCGGAATTAATATAAATATTAAAATTGAAAAATGGATTTTTGCATATACGTACAAAAAATTATGTATGTATTTCGAATTTATTAATTTTGACATCGGATTTGTGTTCAGCGATTTAAAAAATTCTTGAATTTAAGTAAACATAATTGAAAACTATATTTGGCAAAACGTCAATAATTTAATTCACAACTTTTCCACTATATACAGATTCCATTATTAATCACAAATATCTCATTAACCATAGCCGACACAAAAGATTATTTTTCAGGATTGAAAGTTCTAACAACATACTTAATTTTGATTGCAACAAAATTTTTTTCAACATGTCATATTCTGTAGATGTAATATAACTAAATGCATAAAAAATAGCCCTTTTTTGCAACATTAATTACAAATATTTCAAAATTGTGACGGAGCAATTTGGAAACCGAAATTTTATTCAGCGGCTGAAAAAATATAGAAAATGACTAATCTTGTTCTTGTATTCCAAAAACGTTACTTTTTGTTGAACTGTGTGTAATTATTCTAAGCTCATAACAAATTATTGCAATATTTGCAGTCGTTAAAATGTAGAACAGGTGTCCAACAGACAGATTCATTCCGAAAGATTGTACAAGTTTGCAAGAAACGATCCACTGATAATAATTATAGCCACGAGTCCTCGTTGAGTGAAGACGATAATGATGACTCTTCGGGTATAAATACATTTGACACAAAGTTCTTCTTGAGTGGCGTCAACAAATTCTACAACACCCAATCTTGGGAGGACTCAAATAACAATCGGTAATTAAACTTAATCACGACCAATAATGATTAAATAATCAATAATAATGATAATGATATAACTAATAATAAAAATAAATTATTATTAAGAAACTTTCTCATTATGTTGTTCTACATATAATTATGTTGTTCTATAATCGTTTTGGAGGATATAATGATATCTTGCAGTCACTAAGAAGATGTGATGTTATCTTTGATTTTTCCAACTACAAAAATAATTTCGCTGAAGTGTTAATGTCACAAATTTATAGGATGTATAAAGAGAAATCATATATAATTATTTATAGAATTGATTAAAATCTATACTGCGTTCAGAGAGAGAACAACCTCGCTTCGCGCAGCTTTGGGCGGAGTGGGGATTAGGTGAGAGACTTCAGCGCGTTACTTCAATGCCGTATGCGTATCGATCATATTAACTTTCTAATGTTTGAAAGAATTCATTAAGGAATGCGCGGGTCTCCTTTGTCAATTAGCCGGATCTGCAAGCTGCAAGACCAATATTGACAGCATAGAGGGGGCAAAATGGGCGGTCGATCGGGCGGGATCTGACCGAACCGGACGAAAAGCGAGGTTGTTCTCTCCGTGAACGCAGTATATATAAGAATTTTGTTTCTATATATTTCAGGAAAATATTAATTATACATATACATATATAACATACATACATATACAGGGTGTCCCACCAAAAGTAGCCACCCCCTTTTATCTTTTAAACTAAAAGAAATAGACCGTAACAAATATTTATCAAATCAAATAATTCAAACTGAACTCTATTGTGAGCATAGTGGTTGCTTCCAAAAGCTATCCGTGTTAACGAATGGAGAGCATTATTTTATATGCATAATTTTTTTATAATAATGTGAATTTTTCGACATTAAAAAAGTTGTAGCACTATTTGAAATGAATACAACGATGTATGATATAATGTAAATATTTTACATATTATACGAGTTTTATCAACTTGAAATATCGCGGACGACGTTTATCTTTTCATTTTCGGCTCTGCGATATGGCCAACTTCGGATTGAGTATTATGATCAAATAACAACATGATATATAGACATAGAAATATGTCTATGACATAACATATATCAATTTCTAATGCACGAGTCAGAAGTTGGCCACAACGCAGGGCAGAAAGTGAAAAGGTAGACGTCGCCCGCAATATTTTAAGACGATAAAACTCGTATAATATGTAAAATATTTACATTATAACATACATTGTTGTATTCGTTTCAAACAGTGCTACAATTTTTATCATATCGAAATATTCACATTATTATAAAAAAATTATGCATATCTCTTCGTTCGTTAACACAGATAGTTTTTGGAAGCAATCACTATGCTCACAATAGAGTTCAGTTTGAACCATTTAATTTGATATATGTATATTTGTTATGGTCTATCTCCCAGTCAGCAAAATCTGTTCGAACAGATTTTGCCAAACGTCTGCTACAATTTTTTATCAGCAGAAAGATCGCAGATTGTATACAAAATCTGTTATATCAAATAATGATAGCAGAATGTCAGCAGAAATATTACAAAACCTGCTGACATAATTTGACAGCAAATCAGTAGCAGAAACCGAGCAGGATTTGCAGCTTTTAGCCATTTATATAATTTATTGAAATAATATAGTTTATTCGCTTACCGCTATGCGGTGCGCTACTCACTTTCTATATCCGTAATTGAGGTATTGAACTGATTTTTGGAAAATCGGACATTTATTTGTCCGATTTTCACTTATTCGGACAATTTCTGTCCAAATAAATAAAAATATTTCGTTATTATCTACTTAAGATATAAAATATATAGAAATTAACTTCCATATAAATAAAATCTTTAATTTTATAAATCAAATTATTTAAATTTTCCTATATAGACGTGTATATTACATTAAATATATTTATATGTTATTAAGGTAAATATAGTGAATAGGGGACCCAGCCCCAATGACTTTGACCTTGACATATGTTATCAAGGACATAATTCTGAGTAACTTTTTCTTCTAATTTAATCGTCGCTCGTTGCTTATTAAAAAGTTATTAACAAAAAAAGTTTGAAATATACCAAAGTACAAGCACGGACAGGAAGCACGCGCGCGCGCACACACACACACA